ATTATTAACAGCAAAAAATAACGAGAAAATAAATAAATAAACAAATAGGAAAGAAACAAACATGTAGAAATAAAAAATAAGACTGGTGTCAAAAAGCTTCTAATATATCAATAGTCTTTTTTTCAACAGTACGCAAAAAAATAGCAATTATTTTTTTGTCCACGAACTTTAAAAAGTTCAAAAAATTAGAAGAAATTTTAAGAGGGTAATAAGCGCAAAATGTTCTTCTGAAAGTCGATAAATAAGACAGTTATAAACAACAAAATTACTCACCTAAGCAGTATTAAGCAGTTTAGTGACTTATTAGCATCTCAAGGTACACCTCTGCAGCTTATTCGAGCAGCAAGTAATGGAAGCCTGAATGTGTTTTCAGCTTTTAGCCTGGAGATGCACACGCCAAAATTCAGTTTTTTTTTTCGGCTAAAAGCTGAAAACACAAAACAATGATTTATTCTTGACTTTTGCAATTATAAGCCCATAAAACGAAAAAAAATTGGCAGTTTATTAAGAATTGAAAAAAGTTAGCATTATTTCCAGGAGATGAAAAACAACGACAGGAGCAGCGTGCTCTGAAAAAGTTTCATCAACTGACGGTACCTTAGCACAAGAGGCGATAAAATCATCGAACGCTTCACCTGGTGTACAACTTTGCTAACAGACGTCACATAATCTGCTGCATTTTTTAGCTTTCAATAGCACTCTTCATAGGAAGAAAAAGATTACTTAGATAAAATTTGTCAACCACTTTTGCTGCTTAAAACTAATAAAAAATGTTGAAAAAAAAGTGCAGCAATTATTGAACATTCTTTGTTCAGCTATTTTTTGATCCATACTCTTCTTTCATCATTTCTTTTTCAACATTTTACATCGTTGAAAGTAAATAGAATAAAATAAAAACAACTTAACGTTCAAACGTATAAAATATATGATTAGATAATGTTTGCCGACTCTGCTGATGTAAGTTACAGATAAACTAATACACTTTGTGTTCATTTTCAAGAAACCAGACATATCTGAATTTTTTTCAAAATCCAACAAAGCGCTTGTTTTTTCATCGTAACAAGTTGAAAAAAAAAGCTGTCTTTTTTTTTGCCACTCATCTTCCTGTTCTAGCAGCAGCAGGCGTGCCGTTTCATCGGTCATCACAAGGATCAACCCCCACATATTGCAAAAAAGAACGACTGAAAACTAGAGATTGGTAACCATACCTATATTTCTCAAAGTTTTAGAATTTTTTTAAGGACAAATTAGAGAGGACTGAAAAGTAGATGCTGAATGAGGGCACACTGTTGTTCTTTCGGTTCTGCTCCAACATCATTTCCATGGCCAATGTCATTAATAACAACAGAAAATTACCCCTAAGTACAATATCATATTAAACAGAGAAAAAGATCAAAAGAATCAATGTCAGAGAGATAAGAAAGTTGATGACATTCCATCGGAATACCAACTTTTAGCGCGCAGCCAAAAAAAGCATGAAAAAAATGATGCAGTAAACAAAAAGCTGGAATTTTTGACTTTGTTAGGGAACATTTTACCGATCATTTGTTTGATACACACCAGACCTTCAGTAAATGGTTTCTGCGCCAAAAACAGTAGTAAATAGATCAAAGTGATTAAACAAAATTTTTTTGCTGTCCATTCTTCCATCTGTAAATGATTTAAAACGATTCCGATAAGACCAATCCTGATAAATTGAGAGCAAAAAGAAAAGGGCATTTAAACGAACAACATCTTCAAGCAAATAATCAACCATAACTCTACCATCAGGATTTTTTCCGTTTTTCCGTCATAACCGATTCATGTTAAAGTCGGTTTTTCAGTTACTGTGTAACGTAAAAAACGTATCATCATCAAAAAAAAAAAATAAATAAATAAATAAACTCTTAAGAATGACATCTTTTTACTTTGAAAACACTTCGCAGTCATAAACACAGGCCACACTCTTTGCAAAAAGCTATGGAACAGAACAACAGAGAACGAAAAAGGAGGAAAACATCAAAAGTATAAAACGCTTAACAAAATTAGAAAGCAGCAATAACTGGGAAAAAAAAATGAGCTGTCGAAAATAAGATAATACGCAAAAAAAAAAAAATAATAATAATAATAATAATCATTTTAAAACTGAAATGTCAGAGCTGAGTTTTTCATGTCTGCTACTGAAAAAAAATGGACGACAACATTGTCACAAACGAACACAGTTGTTAAGTAAGCTATATGATGTTGTCTCCCAAAAATCAAATTTTGCAACCGAAAATAACAAACAAAACATTTAACGATCTTTAAATGCCGTTGTCGTTACACTCTGGACAGGTAAAATCAGAATCAAGTCTGCGTTTATGCAAAGGCTGATCCAAAAGATGTAACTATTAACAGAGTAAAAACTAGTCCAAGAACATTTACAGACGGCGACCAATTTTTCGGTGGGGTTGTCGTTGTGGTTTCCTCAAGCGGACGGCTTTCGTCGCTCCACGAAATGTTTTGATTGCACTGATCAGAACCCCGGCAGCAGCATAGCTTTGCTTTTTTTCTCACTCCATTTTCCTGGAAAGCAACTGTACAGACTGATTGATCTTTGGCAGCAAAAATACCAATGTAAAACCCACTCGTAACTTCGCTCCTCTAAAAGAAGAACATTCATCTTATGCCGTTACAAATATGCATCTAACTATATATCACTTAACATTTCTCCACCAAAAAACAGGGTAACTGGAGACAATAAGTAGCACACATTCTACTTCTACTTTGACCAACTTCAGCTGTTCTGCCAGCATATCTAGTTTGCAGAGTAACAAGTTTATACAAACATTTCATTAGAGTTACAACAATTTTGACGATAGAGTACTTTATAATGAGACAATAGAGACAAAAAAAAAGCAACATGATACAATAATGCCGTCAAGTCTGCCAACAAAAATTAATGTAGACTGTACTGAAAAAACAGAGACCAAATGAATTGAATAGACTAAATTGTTAGACATTTAAAAAAGTCGTTGATTTCAAAAAGTTTACCATAAATTCTACATAAGTTTTATGTTTTTAATTTCAAAACATGCTGCATTTTCTACCATTTAATTTTTGTACTAGGAAAGCAAAGCCGTTCACAATAAACTACTTCGTTTTTTGGTCAAATCTTTTTAACTCGACTTATTAAAAAAAGCCCCATAAGAGAATTCCACCAAGAATCAGAGGTTGTTTTGATTGATAAGACTACTTTGGAACTAGCAGAATCATTTAGACTAACTCTTCTGTCTTCTAAAACATCAGAGTAAGAGTTCTGTGTAAACAAAATGACCCATTTTTAAAAAAAGTATTACTATTTTGAAGTTTGCCACGCTCACAGAGGCAGTTTCTGTAATTTAAGACTACTGATAACATTTTCAAGAATAACTCCCTTCAAAAGTTCAGCATTAGTCAGCTCTTCAGTACGCTACAATTTACTTTTTGACTAAAACTGCTCTCTTCAGCACTATCCTTAATTATTTTTCTTTCATCCTACTATCAGCAAATTTCTTCAACTGTAGTTCAAAATTAACAACTTTAAAACTGCACTCCATTACAGTGCCTTAAACTTTGGTGGAGTGCAGTTTTGAAGTTGTTCATTTTGAATTACAGTTGAAGAAATTTGCGCCTGCTGTTTTGCGGTATCATTTTTACAAAAAATTGGTCACTTACTAATTCAAAGCAAAGTTCCTTCTTGATTCCTTTGTTCTGCTTAAAACTTTCATCGGTTTCAAACAGAACTATATTTCTTTGTTTAATGAAAAAAAGTTTTTTAAAAATGCTACCTTTTAGTGCAAAAGGAAAAACAACGTCCTCCTAAAATATGCTTCCAAGAAAGTGATGCTTTTCCAAAGTCATTTGCTGTGAAAATTTGTTTAATGAAAATATATGCGAAACCAAGGCCAAAAAACCCAAAAAAATAGTTTCTGTTCAAGATGTCCTCAAGCAGGTTCAGGAATTTATAAATGATAATTTTGAATTGAAAAATAACGCTACTCTTGAAAACCAGACGTAAAAACAATAAAAAATCCTAAAACCTTGAAAAAAAATAAACTTATCACAAACTGCTTAAGAAATAGCTTCAAAACTAGACGTTAATCAGCTGACAGATGTGTATAGATCATTGAAAGTCGAGAAAAATAAAAATATGATGATAATTGGTGTTCCTGCTCCGGTGAGTGTTTAAATTTTTAAAAATGACCATTAAATTGTTATGTGAGGCCTAATGGTCTTATAAACCTTAAATAAGGCGATTCATAAGAAAAAAAAGTATTTGTGCTAACTTGACAGATTGTTACGCTGTTTCAGATAAATATAGTGGTAAAAGGTTTGGGTAAAACAAGACATCATTAGATGACAACAAAAAGAAAGAGAAAATATGACTTTGATGTATCGTCAGGCTGATATATTACAATGTATTTTAACCGAGTACGTTTCCGTCTGGCAGTAGGCGACAAATTTTTGTCATTTGAAAAGGTCAGCTTATGTTAAATACAATTTATCACAGTGATCTGACAGATCAATACGACAACTAGAAAAACAAAAACTCCTCAATATCGTCCTTAAAAGAATGTACCATGGAAAAAAATGACCAAACTAATTGTATCTTAATGATAAACTGTACGCTGACGTTAGTGATCCAAACCACCATTGAACCTTCTTTCGTTCTCTAAAGTGCCTTTTTCACTTTTACCAGAAAACCGCATTAAAATCTTTTTGGCAGGCAAGCTTTCGAAGAAATATTGAAATTTCTTCTGATAACAATAACGCTTCATCTTTCTAGTACCAAATCTGTTTTCTAAAATCAGAAATCTACAGCCAAGCAACTTCGGAGGCGATAAAATCATAAGGAATTAATGTGTTCAAAGCCTTGGGTGAAGTTCTCTAAGAACTCCGTCCCACCTGACGAATAGTTAATTTTAGTATTAAAGAAAGTTAATTTTGGTATTTAAGAGAGATTTTTATTTGTTCGAAAAAACTAATTATTTCAATAGCTCTCATTGGAAACCACCTAAAAGAATATTTGATAAATCAGAGTTTGCTACCTAGAAAAGAATATTACGAAAAAATTATACAATTTAAGCAGATTAGAGTTCAAGTAGTAACCTTAAAATAGAAGTCGACGCAGGCTTGTCGCGTTTCATTCATTGTTGTAACTTTAGAGCCAACAATTTCACTACAACGTGGTTTTTCCAAGAAAATTTTCATCGTTTCAATATATGGCAGTTTTGCACTAAGCTGGAAAACACCTTCGCCTCCGACTACAGTATTTCAAGAACAAAAGAAAAAGAACTGAAGTTATTGATTGCCCAGAGGTGAACAGACTACTAAAACAAAACAAACTTGTGGCCTTTCTTTGGCATCGAGTATTCTGTGAAGAATCCAAGATTGGCAACCTTTAAGAGAGGACTCCTCACGGCCTAATCCTTCTGAACTGATATTCTGCAAAAAATAAAACTCAGTAGATAATCTAAGAAGTGAGCAGTTATAGTAAAAATCAAAACTGACTATTCAACCCAAAAAGTGAAATATTTTACTTTGTCGTAAAATTCAAAATGCAATTGCTTAAACTATGCATTAGAAAATCAACAATACTGATAGACATAATGCAACTATGTGTTAGTTGACAAGAGAATTCCCGACAGTATCAGTATCAAATAAATTGTTTTGCCTAATTGGCACAAATGTACATTGAATTGTTGTTTCATTTAGCTGCAATGAAAATACTAATAAGCAACCTCACTAAGGTAAATAACTTTACAGTATAATAAACTAAGAATTCGCTTACAAAACACAAAAATTCAGGACTTTTTAAAAATAGTGTATTTAATAACCCAGTGATTATTAATCAGAAAAAACACTGTTTTGAAATAGACAAATATTTTGGCTTCAATATAAAAGTTAGTTATACTTTTGACTAAATGTTTAGAACACCTCACAATACAGTAACCCAACATTGGGTGAGTAAAATAACTAATATCAATTGTTTCATTAGTGATTCCTCCTGTTACTTACTTGATTATTCAATCTTCTGAAGTTAAGCGTAGAACCACATTATATGATATAAATGAGTACTAAGCTCTAGTTCCAAGATAAGCCTGTGAGAAAGCTGCTTATGAACAGTCCGAATAAAATGCTGCTTATTGTATTTGGCTTATTAGCATCAAAAGGATTGAAAATTTCAAATTGAAATTAATTTAGTTCAATAAAGAAACTAATGTTGTTTTATTTGAGAAGATTTAAAGCTTTTGCCAAGTTTGCAAGACTAAAGAAAGTCTATAGGTTCTCAAAAGTCTTTGAGAAAGCATTGATGGCTTGAACAATCATGCCTTACATTGTCCCAATTAATAATAGATAGACAAAAATTATATATTAATACTAAAATAACAAATGAGTGTTTGCGAGCGACAAGTCAAGCCCATGCAGTCATCCTAAAGCATTATTTTCAGTAACTATCATAAGTTTTAACTGAAATCACAACGACTGAAGACGTACTGCTGCTCCTGTTTTTTTTTTTTTTTCACTCTCGCAACAAAATTTGAAATTACCACAGAATACACCATTACCTAGAATGCTCGAATGCGCGACAAAGGAAAGAATGCAAGAAAAGAACCTGAATCAAAAGACTGAAACACCATGGATCTCGACAAGAATTGAAATGATATTCTGTTTTTTCGACGGTATACAAAAAGCTGCAAGTTTGTGAATGAACAGAAGTTTCATGCTCTTCATTAGCGCCCTTTGAATCTTCAATAAACTGGTAGTTGCACATTGACTAAAATTATTTTCGGTTATTCTTCTGAAGAATACAGTACATAATGGTTCAACGCGTTTCAGCGAATGACATCACTAACTCCTGATCTATTAATCAAACCACTCTTCCCCGACAAAGTGAGGCTAACTTGAAAATACAAACACTAACTTCTTCGTCACAGTGGTAACGTCTTAAAAATATTAAAATAGCACTACGCAGATAAAACATCATTTTGGTAATTCATACCGCTTCATTACAACAGCAGTTCACTTCAGTTTCACTTCGGTTGAAGCATCCATAAGCTGACAATTTTGTCCTAATTTGTGCTTGTTTGGCGCAAAATTTTTCTTCATCACAGTTCAGTACACCACTACTTTGACTGTAGAAACACCAACCAAAAAGATCATTTGCATTACACACACCCTGAATAGCTTTAGTTAACAGTGTTGTCCTGCGCCAGAACTGACTGGTAAAGAAGTAATAAAACGTTAGCCAACGAAAAAAACGGTTTGCTGAAATAAATGCAGCAAACTTAAGCTAACGAAACTTAGGGACTATTTAGAAACAATTAATATAACCCACCTTAACGTCATCAACGCATCGTTTTCCTGCACAGTATTTAGCGCTGCATATCAATAACAGTGTTAAAACTGAACATCTGGATACCTCTACAAAGTGCTAATCAAAGTTATATGCAATAGTGCCTCTAAAATAAATAAGAAAACAATTCTATTTTACCAAAAATTTTTAGTGGTTTCCAGACAGTTGTTTGATGCTTACGAGAAGCGTCTACTTTTTAAAAAATAAGAGTCTATGTTTTAAAATTGTTTTTTGATAAGTCCTACATTAACCATAATGAAAGTTTCATACTTGAAACAGAAGAAAAAAAAACTTAGATTAAAATTTATGCAGAATTTAATTATTAACTAAACTCTGTTCATTTTTTATCTAAAAAAACTTACTAAATTTTCTACCACAACTTTTCATGGGTTAAGAATCTGTTACTTTATGTGTTTTTGAAGATTAAAAAATATTTATTATTTAGCAGGGTATTTGAGAATTGCTGGAATTTCTCGTGGAAATTCTACAGGTTTCGATCGTTATTCGGTGGCATAAGCAGCAACAAAAGGAAAAATTTACATGCATCAATTAGTTTATTGCTCATTAACAAAAAATTCGTCACCCCTTTCCACCCTCCATTTAACCTGTAAAAGATATCAACAATGATAGACGTCCATAAACGTCTGAAAAGTGATAACAATTTTAACTGACCTAAATGCATTGTGGCAGAAGAAGTTGAGGGTGAAGTTCTGATTGCTGCGAGGCAAATGAAGCCGACTGACGGCACTTTGAAATAGAAAGTTTTGGTTGTTGTAGAACAAACACATCACCTTCAGTATGCTGCTAATGCATTGAAAATGGAATAAAACATCAATTTCTGCACAATTAGATTTATGTCAACGAGTTCATTTCTTTCTGAAAAAAAGCTGGACTCACTGCATTGCCGAATGTACATTTGCACTACTAAAAGCTCGATGATGTGACATCCCTGCAGCTTATTTATTTATCACTACCCATTCTTCTTGAAGGCATGTTAATATTTAAAACCAATTTATCGTTAAATTTTGGGAATAAAATTAATTGCCTCCTCTACACCACCATTTCACTTCTTTTCCCTTTCAAAGCGTCAAAAAACTGTATACTTTTACAAGAAATAATTTGCGTTCCATATCGCCTTTCTTCCTGAAATAGCAGTATAGAGAGAAAAAGAGATGCATCACTACTCCACAGTTCAAATAAATTATCAGTTGCACTCCATTTACTTCCTTTCTTGAGCAGTCTTTCTATAAAAAACCGCTGCTGTCTTTACTAATAAACTAGTCTTTAAAGCTTTGAAATGCAGTTGCCGTCACACAGTTACGACGATCTAATATTCCTCTGATGTCGTTAGCCTGACCACCCATTGTAAACAAAGAAACAATGCATTCTTTTGAGAGTTCAAATGCTTAAATTAGATTGGAGCTTTCAACCCGTACTATGCACTCGAAAGGTAATGGTAATTATTACTTATACACAAACTTCCTTTCTTTCAATTTTTTCAAGATTTCCTCAGCGAAAACCAATCTCATTGTTCAAGAAATTTCAAATAATCAACAGAAGACGTTGAACACAAGGAACTGGTGTTTAAAACGTTTTTTTGCAGCAAACTGCTCGTAATTCACCAACTCGCATCATATAAAACTATTTAACAGTTCTTCGACAACTTTTTCAACTGTTGCTTGAACAAAAAAGAAACCAGACAGGTGCTGAAAAAACATGAAAAGACGACTACTGGTCGCGTAAACTGCTCATCGAGTAAGTTCCGCTGTCAAAAACTGCCAGAAAAAAAGAAAACGAGGCCATTGCTGCTGGTTCAGTTCTCCAGAAAAGAAAACCTTTCCAGTGGCATGCTCTTATTTGGTTAGGTTCCCAAACACTGCAGGTCACAAATAAACACCAATACATAAACTGCAAATATGCGATAACAACAAAGAGCGATCACTAAGTTTTCATGCTCTCTTTCTTTTACAACCTATACATAAAACAAGTACAACAAATACAAGCAACGCAATTTTGCTTCCACAGACCTGCTGTTGAAGCTGAATCGTTGGTCAGTATTCGTCCTAATAAATAATCTAAGTTTTCCGATTATCAACCAAAAATTTCTTCAGTAAACAAGCGGCAGTTGGATAAATCAAGTTCAGACCCAAAAAGTTATAATTAAATACAAACAAAGAAGGCAAATATTTTGAGTATCTGAAGGCACAGAAAATGTTAATTCCGACACGGCTGTTTACTGAAAACCTTGGCCATTCTTAATCGGTACTACAATCAATTAAGTTAGTTTTTGAGTTGAATTGATTATTACTGTTGCCTTAATTCCTTAATAGTTTTAAGAAAAAACTCTTTTAAAAATCACTTTGGCTAAAAAACAAGAAAATTCCTGAATGAAACACTTCAGTTCCTAGGCAAGAATATATACACAATTCTAAAAAATAACTGCATTTTCATAACAACAAAGAAAGATTAAGTCCATTTAGCAGAACATTTTCCAAGATAAATTATTCTACATATGGTCCCCGTAACAAAGAAAAATAGAATGTGAGCAACTTCTGTATATACATCGAATTTGTTTTCTTTACAGAAGATTACATATTTCTGCACGAACACTATTCGTCGTACACTGTGCTTAGAATTATGTAAAATTTAACAGTATACGGCATCACAGTCACTTTCGGTACTTGTTTCGCATAGAACTGGTATATTCGTGGGATTCTGGAATTACAGCAAAGTTTAACTGCCTATGCAGTAGCATTATTTTCTTTCATGAGAATCTACTAAGTCACTGTAAAATGAAATAAATGAACAAAAAAAAAAAAAAAGACAGTAATAAATACGTTGTTATACCAACAATATTTTTGGCCTCCACTACTAGTACTTTATAAATACCGACAAAAAAATATAGAAATTTGAGATGTTTTAATAACCGAACTCAGGAATGATTAATAAATTTGAACTGATGTTACAAAATTAGCAGGTATACTTACACTGGCGGTTCTACGGTGAGTCATAATAGTGTTCTTCACAGCCTGGACTCTCCTTTCTTTATCAGACAAGCCGTCTGAATGTAAAGCCGCCATTTCCAGGCTCCTTTCCAGCGACGAAGTATTCGTTGAGGTCGAGGTTATAAGTAATTTACTTGATCTGAATTAACAATCCTTACGCATTTTAACCATAGATTTCTGGTCTTCGAGTAGCAATGACCATACTTAGGCTCAAAATTTAATAGCTGTTATTCATTCAAAAGATTGGGTTTTATGATTATCCCGTTGTCTCCAATATAATGTTTGAAAAATCTCAAAACTCTTCCAAAAAATGAAAGGTAGCTTCATAAACAGTCAAAACTTTTGTGTTTTCACTATTCAAGTGACGCAAACTTTATCTTACCTCTCACTGTCATTCCCACTAACTTGAGTGCTTTTAAGTTTCTTAAAATTAAAATCGGCATACGATGATGAATCCAATGATGATTCCACAAGGTTCCTGCATAAAAACTGATATGATACAAAAAGAATGAAACTAACTAAATAGTGAAAAAAAATCTCTATTAAAAAACAACGAAAAAGTATTGATAAACTTTTTTCAAGAATTCAGTCGGAAAAATTAAGGAGTAACTTTATCAGCTTGATGAATTTTAAAAGTGATATAACAAAAATACATTTATTACCCGTTGCAGTATTCCTGCTCAGATAAACTGGCTTCACTTGAAGTGTCTGAATCAGGATAACTAGAATCCTTTTCCAGTTGCGGTGCGACTGCTGCAGGAACGGAAGAAGCATACTGTTTTTGCATATTTGCTCTCATAGCCGTCTCACAATGCATTGCTTCTTCGTAACTCGTCGACTGCCGTAACTGAAAAATGACAACCTTCGAAAGGGCACAGCAAAAGCTTGCACTTCTGCTCTGAACAAAGCAAAGGAAAAAAAGTTACCATCGAAGGACACAAGTCAGCGGCCGAGAGAGTTTTAGCAGTCTGACAGGGAGATCTGCAAAGAAGCATAAAAAACATTAATTTCTGATAAAATAAAATATACGACATTTGAGAGTTTTGAAGAAAAATCAAAAGATTTATGCTTACTTTTGCAAACAATTGCCATTCTTGACATCTAAATCTGTAGACTTTGCGCGATCATGATGCAAAAAATTGTTAGAGAAATCCACTTCAGAACCGTTCGGTCTTGCACGATTATTTGTCAAATGTCGTTCTCTGGACCGAGCTAAAAACACCACTTGAAATATAATTTTCTATCGTAAATTACGGATAAGACTAAAATCCTGCATGAAAAATCTACAGTGAGAAGCTTAAAGTAGACCAAAAATATTTTAATTAATCACCTGGAGTTTGCGAGGACTCTCGCGAAAAACCACCCGAATTTCTTCGACGTTTTTTCCGATGCGAACAGTTTAATTTTCCATCGTGATAGGGAGCCTCCAGATTACGATAAAAGAACGTCGAACGTACCTGCAATTGGTTAGCGTGATTTACCTCCCGTATTCCTAAACAAGATAAAAAAAAGCATGCAGAAAATTGAACTGCCCCCTCCTCTTCCTTCATTGAACGTTATATTAAGAAACTGAAGATATGAATCAAAAATAGAAGTAAGAAAGATGTCCATACAGGTTGGCCACAGTTATGGCACTCAATAGTAAGGTCGATATTTGACAGCGTAGGCAAAGATTCTTCCCCGTAAATAGTTTGAATTCCGGAATCATTTGAAAATTCGGAATATCCTGAATTACGAGCAGAGGAGCCGCGTCGCAAATCTCCAACGTTATGAAATGACCCACTAGAATATCGCAGCGAAGAGTCCCGTGAAAAACTTCGCTCTAAAAATTACTGCAGTAAAGTATAATTAATTCTGAAAAAAAAAA